AAAAAATCTCTTTTTTTCCCCCTGTGTCCTATATTTTTGTACTGCATATATTAAAGTTTCAAGGATGTTGAGAAAATCTAAGTGGGTAGCTTACAAGAAGATGTGATAGAGAGCCCCAGGAAGAAAGCACTTTATTTCTTTTTGAACCTGTGCACTTTTTTAGGTGGATGTCCAACTTTTTGGCCTATGATTTGAATTTAGTTAGACTCTCTTGCATCCATTTTTAAAGTGAAAACTGCATATATTTTTCGGAAGGACATTCAGCGTGTCCAGCTAGAATGCTTTCATTAGTTAACAAAATAACATATCAAGGAATGGTTTTCTTTTGTGTATGTCATTTTATTTTTCCTCCTTTTTTAAAAAAACCCAAAACTATATCAGCACTAATAAATGTAATTGCTAGCCTAAGACTGTCTAGTGAAATACCAATCCTTTTAAGTGTGATTATTCAATAGTCATATAAAAGCTTTGTATTGGTATCAAACATTTGCATTCTCTCTGTCAAGTATTGTCAATTTGTGTTTGCTCTGTTTTGAGACAACCATGTCAAAATCTAAAGTTTCAAGGGAGAAAGTTGTCATTAAAGACTCAGACTGCAACTTGGTAATCATTCCAAACCTTCACTCTGGCAAAGAGAAGATTGCTGTTACAATGGCTACACTTCCCTGCTCTATGCAGTTGTGCTAATACTGCCTTCCAAGAAGCTCTTTAGATGAGCAAGAGCTTATTTCTCCTGAGTTTGTCAAAAAACAGCTTGAAAAGCAAAGGCTTCTTTGCCTAAAAGCATTGACATGAAGTGCTACAATACAGTACAAAGCTGGAGTTCTAGAAACAGCTGACAAAGAGCTCCTGAGCTAACAAATCCTTGACATTTCTTTAACTCCAGAAGTATTTATTTTGCATATCTCAGGAAAGAAGTAGAGACATACATACCTGTATGATATTAATAAGCTACAGAACTGCTGCTTAGATATAGTTGTCTTTCAGTGAATATATTAAAAAGAGAAAATTAAGTGTATTTTTGTACAAGACAAGCATGTGCTACAAGAATAAAATAAAAAAAAAGATTCATAAAGTACTGTTAAGTTCTTTTGCCTGTTGGTTGATAGCCCAGATTGTTGAAAAAAGCTATGGAGCAGTGTCCATAGGTGAGACTGAGGATAAGAATAAGACCATGGCTGCTTTATATACAGGGGAAAAAAAAAAGTGCTAGAAGAAAGGAGAAATACGCTAACGGAGACATGGTTGTTTTGCTCTTTACTCACACCCTTCTCTCACAGTGATGTTCAGAAAAAAACAATACAAACAACCCAGAGAGGAAAGATCTATTTCTATTACTCTTGTAGAACAGTGTATGTCTAGGTTCCATGGTTATGGTGTTGAAGACTGCTGAATGCTGTGAGCAAACACGATCCAGTAATTCTTTTTCATTAATTTATTCAACACGTGTTGCACACATTTCTGAACTAAAGAGAGTCTCAGTCCAATGTGAGTGCTGAATTCCTCACCAGCTTCTTTTGCTTGGAAATGAATAAATTGTAAATTCGAGAGAACTCATTGCATTAAATATAATTAAATTCCATTAAGTAATTAAGCAGCGAAGCAAAGAGGAAGCATGAGTGGCAGACTTGTTCTTCACTGGGTATCCTATCTCTATGTACTCAATATCTCTTTGCTTTCTTTGCTTTCCCTTTAGAAACAGTTGAATGTCTTTTCTTTTCATGGGAGGTCAGATTCAGTTAAGAAACATCAAGGTGTTCATCCTCTGGCCTGATGGAGACCAGATGCTTTACGTGCTAGCATTTGTTCTGGTGGATGAGGTGGATGGGTCACTGAACTCTTTAACTGAGAAACAAAGTTGGCAAAATATTTAGATACAGTAAAATACATTCTTGCCCTCGAGAGAACATGGGCATATGAAACAACATCATATACTGTTATTCTCCCCATCAGCTTCCTTCTCCCTCACATGTCTTTGGGAAGCAACATGAAAAAGATGCAGGGCAGAATCAGCATTTGAGTTCCCATGTGTACGCTTGTAAGGGGCATTTTCAGGTAATTGTGTGCTCATATATGTATGTATGTTGTGAATAATCTCAAAGCTGAAGGAAGGCTTGAAGGACTAAGATTTAACAATGGGATTACAAAGCAATTTCAGTTAAACTTGTAATCTTTTTGAATTAATTTTTAAGAGCACACAGAATTTGGTGCTGCTGGTGTTTTTTTCCAGGACAAGCCAGGTATAGGTAATGCTGATGCATAAGGGAAGTCTGGAAACAGAGCAATGTAGAGCTTGATTTTTGTCTGACTATGTTCTTGGGATGAAAGGAGCGGGAGTACCAGGCTGGCTGACACACCTAGCTAATGGATTATTCATTTTTCTGTAAAGAAAACCCAGAAACTGTACTGATCTGCCTCTTTCTTCCTTTTCTTCTCATCAGCTTTTTTTAACTGCTTCCTTTAGCAACTCTATTTTTCTTGGTAAAAAACCCTTGATGATAACTTTAAGATCTAAATATTTTCTGTTTCTCTGATGCTAATTACCTAGACCCCTGCATTATAAAAATAGCTGATTTTCAAAATGTCAAATAATTGTGTAATTTCTAGCTGTAATTTTACAGAAAAATAACATGTACTAGTGGAAAACATCTTGCACTGAGTTATGTCTCTTAATATTATGCTATAGACATGTCTCAAATTTAATGAATTGATTTTGTGTCAGTGTAATGGAAGTTGTGACAAAAAAGAGTTGGGAAAGCAGACATTTACAGACAAGAAAACAGTTACTGAAGTAAGGAATGTAAAAAAGGCAGTTTTATTTTAAAAATGTTCATTTTCTTATTTAAAAAAAAATTGTTACATTTCATTAAAATGCTGTTAGCTAGTAGTGTATTTCTCAAATAAATTTGAATTATAGTGACTGAGGGCTTATTACAAAAAAAACCCCAAAACAAAACAGCAACAAAAAAGGCACAAAACTCCCTTGCCTTAAAATCGTAGGACTCAAAATGTCACTGAAAATCTGGCAAGCCAAGGGCTGTTGGGTTACTCCACTCTAAATATTGTATAAAATGAAATTACAGTTATGTAACAACAAACTGCACTGGGTGCTACATGAGACCTTCAGAACATCTGTGTTGGGCATTGTTCCATCTCAAGATGGAGAGATTCCTGCCTGCCAAACAAAACTGGCAAGAAAGTTGAGAATCATTCTGATTATGATAATCAAGCGTCATTTTAATCTTCCTTGGAGGAATAGATTTAGGCTTTCTTGTGTATTGTTTAAATGTAATGCTCTGTGCATAAGTAGCTTTACAACTGTTCAGTGAGAAAACTTTATCATAATTTATCATTAGTAACTTTGTGGTGCTCATCTCAAGCAAGTATATTAAATTATTGACATGTAATGTAGAAACTTGTGTGACATAAATAGAATGTTTTTCTCATCTGGCTAATAATAGACACTGGGTTAAGTAATAAGATTGACTTTCTTTAATAAAGCACAAACTTTGAAAACATGGAAGACAAATCTTTTGCTGCATGGCCTTGGGGAATGTGGCAGGTAACATAACACTGCTGCTTTTCCACATTCTTCACTGCAAAATTAAAAGTAACTGAAAATAAACGTCGGTTATTGTTGCATAGTAGCAGGGATGCTTATTAATCTCTGCTGACAACAGAGACAGTCCCCATATTTTCCTATTTTCATTCACAGTTGCAAATTGAAAGAGAAAAATGAGGATCTGTGTATTGCTTTGGAGCAAGATGTGGTCTGTGTTATATATGCCTTTGCGTCAATATCTGTGCTTATTTTAATTTAGTTTGGTTATGGTTCTTATGTACTTAGTTATCTGTAAAAATAATAATATTTACTCCTCTGTTTGTATGTATTTTTTTTATATTCCCTGAACATTTCTGCTGTCACTTGTACCTGTGTAATCTCTTCTTCAGTGAATGTACAGAACCTTAATTGTGAACAAAATTTAATTGTAGTTTTCAGTTGAGAAAAACTTACTGTTCTCAGGCAGTTTTTGCAATTGCAAGTTTGTAATTGTGCTATGTGTCCTGGAAATGAAATAGTTTTGTGTCACGCCAGAACGATACTGCTGACATGTTGAAGTAGAATTTTTACCAAATAATAACATGAGATACAGGAAAACCTCACCAGAGAATGAAATGCGAATCCAAGCAGGCAGGATGCGGTTATTTTCTCCTGTAGAAAAAAAAAATGCATTTTCTTTTACAAAATATGAGTGAAACATTTATGGAAAATGGGAAGACACTTTTAGATATCTTTTAAGGACAGAAGTTTTTTTCAAGGCTAGTTGTGACATCATGTATTTCATTTTTGTACCATGCTTTGAAGATATACAATTTTATAGCATTATCATAGTGAGATGATTGTGTTCCATAAATGTTCACCAGCAAGTCCATCAGCTGAGACCCAGAAAGTGATCTTGTGAACACCTGTAATCTATTAAAAGCACTCATGTAATGAGTTACATCACCTCAGCTGAGAAGCCAATAACAAAATGCGAGGGTGTGATAAAAAATATGTTAGAGGCAGTAATATCTTATGTGCAACTGTTTGCTTTAGAAGTGAATATAGCACAGTGCTGGCTGCACGGTATCTGTACTCAGTGTCTGGTATCTGAGCTGAAAACGTGACAGGCCTGGCTAGGAACACGCTGCATCTCTGTAGATGAGGACTGCATCACTTCCCTGGCTTTTTTTAGTTGCCAGTTATTTCTAGGCTGAACAGAGTAATTAGTTTAAAAAACAATAATAAAAAAAGAAAGGAAGGAAAGAGAGGTGTATTGCCTCAGAAGACAAACTATTTGTGCAGTTATGTTATTCATGGGTAGTATTTGGTATGTTTTAAGCCATGATGCTGATATTTTATATAGGGAGTGTAATGGTTAGTGATTCATTACTTAATATATATATTTTAAAAGTAACATTGAATGATGTTATCTGTAATGACTTTTTTTTTTTTAAAGAGTGTTCATATTTTGGAGAGAAAGGCTTCTTCAGGAAGCACAGACCCTTCTTTAAGCAAGCAGTTCCTTGAAAGCGACTCTATCTCCCTATCTAAGGTAAGTAATAGCATGGGCTGTAACTGAAGTGGTAAGTTTCCCTCTGTAGTTAAAAGCAGTTAGCTATATTTTGTTATGATTATACCACTGAGTGTATTGTCACCCTGCCCTGGAGCCTCCTGTTCCCTGGCTGAGGTGTCAGAAGGCCTAGTAATCTTTACTAGATATTATATTAACAAAATGAGGATCTGGATGCTAGCAGTGGCATCTGTGGGGGTTGGTTTTTTTTCGTTTTTTTTTTTTTCCCCCCTGGATGTCCCCAGGAACAAGTTTTGCAACCTCAGAATGTGGGGCTATAAGGGATTTTTAGAAATGATCCAGTCCAATCTTTTTATTAAGGTAGAGCAAATCATATCCAAGTCCTAAAGTGCTTCTAATCATTAATGATATTTGTTTAAAAGATCTGTCCTAATGACATTTCTTGTGAGTAGTTTCTTAAAATGTGAAATTGAAAATCTCTCGCTGACACCTTCTTTCCTGAGGCAGAGAAATGTATAGAATTGTAGGGGTAACATTTGGAAAAGAATTAGTTTGCAGACAAAAACAGAGGGTTCAGAAAGCTGTTGGTAGTGGCTCCCTTCACTCCCAATACCTGGGGCATATGCAGACCCATAAGCTTTAAGCTGTGCTTGTGTTCCCTTGGTTCTGTTGCTTCACACAGAGCTATTTCACATGTAATATGCAGGGAATTGGTAAAGTCCTGAAGTTCTAATGCTTGAGAATTCTACTTGAGAACTGGCACTGGACGAAGACTCTTCAAAGCATATCACTTTCACTGTGTTTTTCCCCTGTTTCTGCCTACTCTTGCATATAATGTCCCTTGTGTTTGGAATATATCATCACACCAAACCTGTGCAAAGAGGTACAGTTAGGATTGTTAGGATGTTTTTAAGAACAGCTTGCAGCACTGGTGCAGCAGGAGACAGCTATCCACATTGCACTGAATAATTGCTCATTTTGTCCTTCTGTATCAGGCCTTTTGTTTAAATGAATAGCTATATGAGACTGTGATTTCTAGCTGAGAAGTAATCAATACTGATGTTATCTAGCTGATAAAAGACTTATGCCCACAGCTGATCTTCTAAAGGAGAAATCAATATGGTGAAGAATCAGTTGGCAGAGTTGCAGAGAGACATTCTCTGCTTGCCCCAAGGGACTCATAGTTTAATTTTCCCCTCTCAAGCGCCAGATGCTTCTTTGCAGGGAAAAAATAATGCATGTGTGGTTCCCTATACAGTAGTGGAAATAGAGTATCCAAGCAAAACACAAGGAAGTAAAAAAGGTGTTTTTCTGAGTATGGCATTTACAGGCAATTGGGTAATTCCAATGCAGAATTCTGCAGGGAAAACTAAAAGGAGTAAACACTTCTATTAACATTTATTGCATTATGTATTATTTGTGATAGAGCTTTTCACCTTTCTCAAGATAACAAGACCACACTAAAAACTGTAGATTTGAAATTTGCTGTTGCTTTTGAAATCATATTTGCATAATAATAATATTAATGTTATCAGGGCTATGTAACTTATTTGGAGGTGTTACGAAAGACCAACAGTGCTCAGCTCTGAACAGTGTTGTGGGAAATGGAGGAGACAATTTTTTTTTCCCTTTAAATGTTTGATGCTGTATGACCTCCTTTCTCTCTTGATAACCTTTCATAACATTTCTGGGAGTTGTGACAGATCAGCTGAGAAATTGCATATTTACAAATTTGTAGAATACAATTAGTAAAATTGAGTCTTAATGAGCAGGCAACAGGAAATTTTTAAATTAGTATGGAATTTTGTTGATTACAAGAGTAGCAAGAGAACAGAAATAAAGGCATAACTAATTTTTCTCTTTAAAAATATTATTCTTTAGTTGTTCACTATGGTATAAGTCTGGCTTGAGTTGTACGAGTTGTCATGCATAATAAGTGGTATGTACATGGAATATGGTTTAATTGGCTCCCTGAAAGGCATACAGCTGGTTGTATGTGAAATGGTACAGTTCTTACTCTTTTCTCTAAAGAGAAGATTAGTTAGTTTTCCTATAAATGTTTCTTAATACAGTGAAAAAATATTAATTTCCTTTTTCAAAAGGCAAAATTAGCCTGTGAACCTCTGTCATAAAATGCCTTTGAAGACAGAATCTGGGTACATTCAAAACCAATAACAAACCAACCTTTTCTGCTTGTTTCTCTGGGTTTTTTTTAGAAAAAAGAAAAACAAACAAACAAAACCCAAAAAAACCCAACAACAAACCAGAGTATCCAGAATGAATGTAGCTTACACTTTAAAAATAAGAAAATTTACCATTTTCTTTATGATCAGGGAGCCCCACAAAAGCCACTGTTAGTATATCTGCCCATATGTTTAACAGTATGGTTTCTTTCTCATTTGATCTCACAATCCCACCTTTTTTTAGAAGAGTGCTCTGCGTAAAGTTATGTTTTTAGCTTGCACATTCTGTGCATAGTGCACTTGCAAAATCTCTCTTTAGTTCTTACACTGCATTGCTAACTTGTGGAGTGTCTTCTGCATAGACTGAACAGGTGGTCAGAGCCACCTGCAATTTCACACTGCTACCTCCAGGAGCAGGTCTGACCTTTCTTATATTTAGCTCTGCCAAAATTTAATCTTGTTTTCATGGATTTGGGTGCATTTATTTCATTGGGAGAGTCCTTCTTGTGAACAGCATGTCTGGACCCACCCTCAGATTGTCATTCAGTTACAGTGTCAGATTTTTTAAAAAACTTCAATTACCTTTTAGTTACCTGGAATAGATTAGACTTTTAAAAAAAAAAAAAAAATCAGTATTTTTAAACGAGATGCAGCCAGATGTAATACAGTAGTTTGATACATAAGCAGGCTGATTAAAAGCCTAGCCCTCCTCTTTTACTTTTTGTCTTACACTGGAGAATTTGTGCTACATATAAATGCAGTTTTTCATTGTGTGTGCACAGTTACTTAATCAATGTGTCTTCATACCTTTTCTACAGGAACCTGACAGCTGGGAAATCATAGAGGGTCTGAAAATAGGCCAGACCAATGTCCAGAAGCCAGACAAACATGAAGGTTTCATGCTGAAAAAGAGAAAATGGCCTTTAAAAGGTTGGCACAAGGTAAATGTCTCCTAAAACACTCAAAAGTTTATTACCTTATCTTGTGAGTTGTGATTTTTTTTGTCTAGAGGAAATTAGAATGTCAAATGAACACCCACAATTTTGGTGTATGACTTTTTCTTCAGCTTGTGTAGAGAATTAGTTTGCACACACAGCTCACGGCTTCCAAATTGCAGTGCCTGCTGCCTTATACTGTGTTCAAAATCCAGTCATAAGTTGTAAATAATGCAGCAGATGCCTTGTAATTTAAGAGGTTTAACCAATACGCCTTTCATTCTTTCCAATTTATTATAATAAAATAACATAAAGTGTAGTCATGTACTGTAAGATTACGTTGAGTTTACATTAAAGTGCACAGGCCATTATGACAGCAGAAGAGAGCTGAGGGGCTTTAGCACACATGGACCCAAGGCCTTCATGTGGGAGAACATTTCCCTTCAGGCATAAGGACTTAGCTCAACTTTGTCCCTGAATTTTGTTTCTCTTCTTGATGTCAATCTTCTGTCTGGGCAGACAGTGGGACTGTGTACTTTCGCCTTTAGATATATCAATTTAAAATTAAAAAAAAACAAAAAACAAACAAACCAAAACACCCAAAACCTCAACCCTAAATCTTCTGTTTTGTTAATTTGGTGACATTTCTCCATGGACATTTCTACCTTTTGTTAGCACTAAACCTGGTGTTCACAAACTCTTTTGTCTGTATTTTATACCTTTGTAATTAGATTCCCCCCCCTTTTTTTAGCAACAAGATGTGTAGTATGGATGCTCACCTGTCTTTTTGTAGCTGAGGATACTTGAAGCAAACTAATTTTCTAGGACAGAATACATTTTACTGCAAAGGATAGTGAATTCATTTGTTACACATGGTGTTTTTTCTGGGAAAGCATTAACTTTATTTTTGCTGAACACTGTGGGGCTTAGGTCAGAGTACAGATACAGGCCTTACTAGCATAAATGATGCTTGCTTTTTTTTTTTTTTTCCCCTAATTCTCTATTCTTTTTGAATGTTATATGAACTTGTACATATGTCTGCCACCCTATTTTTGTGCATGCCTATCTACCTTAGATTTTTGGTTTTGTTTTCCTTAACTAGGGTTTGTAGTTTTAGCAACCAAATATATATGCATTACTTGAATTTAGGGTAGGGAAATTAGAGGATTTCAAAATGACATATCTGAAACAATGAAAGAACAGAAAAGGAGAGCTTACTTTAAAAAAAAGAACAAGCAAGCACAGCAAAAAACCCTCCAAACAAACAAAACCCCACCAAACTATGCCCACTTTCCAAAAAAAGCAAAATAATTAATCAGTTATATACGAATATATGAAATAACCCATTGCTTCCAGTTCTTTAAAATACATTATGTTAATGTGTTATTTCTTGAACAAGTGTCTGTCTTGCTAAGAAACTTTATAGGAGAGCAAGGGGAGTCCAACTTTCACAGTTCCATAAAGGAAATCACTACTGATGATCTGTTTTTCATGCTGGCGTTAGAGCAGTTACTTGTCCAAAAAATTTTTAATATGATTAAGAGCTTCACAGTTCAGCATCTCTCTCTGCTCCTCCTTGTATTTCACCTAAGGATCTGTGCTGAACTTCTGTTTAGAAACTGGATTTGTTAATAAGTTTGGTGGATTGGTTTTGTTTGTTTGTTTTTCCTGTCTCAATATCCTGCAGTTTCCATTACAATACTTTTGCTGAGAGCCCAGTGAGGAATTCCAGAGACAGTAATTGTAGCATGTGCTGTGTAGCATGTTTTAGCAAAGCCATAGCATTCTCTGTCTGTTCAATGTTGCATGTCTTATTTTGATGGTTCTGAATGTCCTTTAGTAGCATCCCAGGTATAATGTGTAAAACTTGGAGAGTAGCTTATGATTTTCTGCATTGCAGTATACTTTGGAATGAAACATGAGGAAAGGAAATTTTCTTTTGTTTGTGGAACTTGAAGAGGCAGATCAGTATGAAATGAATATCATGTTCTTGTGAAGTCCATTAATGATTATACCTTGTTAAAAAAAAAGAAAAACAAACCCCCCTTCTGTTGCTTTGACATCTTATTCAAGAAGTTATTACTCGAGGAAAGAACTGTTTTCTTGCCCTGTGTGAGTTATTGGTACCATCTGTTCTGTGACTGACATAATTTCCAAACCATCTTCAGGAGATATTTTCTGCCATCTAGCTACGGACCCTGCCAATAGTGTCAATTTAAGAGGTTCGCATAATGGAAACATTGTCCTTCCCTTCCATGTCAGACAGCTTAGACAGTCTGGGATAATATTTTGCTTAGTTCTAGATTTTTAATATAGATTAGTGCTTTATGTTAGACTCTAAAAATATGACTTAATTTCTTCTAATTAGTGTACTTTGAAAGTCAGTGGTGATAAAGACAAATGAGTCTCATTTAAAGTGTAGGTTTCCTGTAAGCCGTATCTTTATGCTGTGTTCTAACGTCTGTGCTAACTTGTCCACAGTACAGCTCAAGTGGTCTGGCACACAAAAGCTAGGGCAACTTTAACTGCAAGAGAAGCACATGAATAGGAGATTCTGTTCTCTAGTCTAAGTAAGAACCACTTGACAAAATATAGGTGTAGCAATGGCATAGACAGGCATCGTCAGGTTAGCCTGGCTCTGGGAACCATGTCTATGAAGATAAAGTGGCTCACACTGTATCAATGACCAACACCCAAAACATACGGCCTCCCATGACCTGAGTATGCTGCTGGGAATGTGGTAATATTTACACTTGTCCTAGTACCTGTATTAGCTAGATTACAGCTGGAAAAGGTATAATCAGCACTCATTACAATCTCATCTAGGCCTCACTGTGTAGAAGTATCAGCTGAAGACTGGCTGAGGGAACTGGGGTTGTTTCGTCTGGAGGAGACTGAGTGGAGACCTTATTACTCTCTACAGCTACCTAAAAGGAGATTGTATTGAGGCTGGTGTTGGTCTCTTCTCCCAAATTACTGATGATAGGAAGAGAGGAAATGGCCTCAAGTTGTGCCAGGGGAGGTTTTCATTAGCTATTAGGAAGAAGTTCTTCCCTGAGAGAGTGGTTGGGCACTGGAACAGGCTGCCCAGGGAGGCGGTGGAGTCATCATTCCTGGGTGTTTTCAGAAAATGAGTGGATGTGGCACTTGAGGCTATGGTCTAGTGGATAGGGAGATGTTGGATGGAGTTTGGACCTGATGATCCTAGAGGTCCTTTCCAACCATGATGCTTCTATGATTCTGTGTCTGCCACGAGGCACAAAGTTTTGGATGATAGAACAGTGTCTCACAGCCTGTGTTTTTTTCCCAGCTGGAGATCAAAAAGACCACAAGAACATCTGTATGTGGGTCTTTTTCTTGGGATGTAGATCTTGCACTAGGAAAAACTTTTCTGTTGCTGGATAAGGAAAGTAGGTTGTTAATTTGAAATGTGACTAGCTTCTGTGGGAAGAAAAACAAAAAGAAAATAAAGAAATAGACATAACTCCTTTGGCCTGTAGTGTCCTTATTAGGGAGTTTATTGAATTGGCTGGAAAACTGAAAAAATAACTTTCATTATTGAGATTTACGTTTAAACCTAGAACACAATATCAAAAAAAGAGAATCTATTTTTTTCTTACTTAGAACTGTTGTTCAAAAAACAAGCAAACTAATTATTCAGTACTGTATTTATCCTCTTTACAATGCACAATCATGCTTTAATTACTGCAGAGTAATCCTTTTCTTTTGCATATGAATGATTGTATGTAGTTCAAATTGTATCACTCATTAAGAAAGAATTATTTTTTTTTTTCTTTCAGAGGTTTTTTGTCCTGGATAATGGAATGTTGAAATATTCAAAGTCACCAACTGATGTAAGTGAAGCTGAAGACCATTTTAAAATGTATATTGGAATTCAGTCGTCTAGGGTGATGAAATACCATACTTGTTCTAGGCATGTTTGTAACAGTGCGCACATGAAAGATGTTGATGCATTCAGAGAGAGATCTGTACATGGAAAGCATGGAAGGTTTGGATTGAGTTCTGTCCTCGAGAATTCTATGTTTTCTTACTTATATGAAAATAAAAACTATGTTACTTAAAGTAATTTATTTAACAAAGTTGCTTGAGAGATTAGCTTGGCCATGTATTTTTCTTTTTCAATTTTCCTGTCAGTCAGAGCTGATTATTCTGTGGTGATATGTAGAAAGGACAGAGAATTGATTGCGCTGTATTCAAGAGATACAAAGGGTAGTATTAAATTATTTAGATCTGATACCACTAACTGTCAAGTGGTAGCAGCAAGATACTGAATACTGTCTAATTTTCTCTGCTGCTCACTTACCTGTAGCTGTGTGAACCAGCACACTTAACTTTGGAGTTGGTTCTACACCAAGCACTTCTTGTGAGGCACTTTCTAACTATAAATATAGTAAGTGGTTGGTTAGTCTTTTTACAGATTTTATTTTTTAATATGGGTTTATATTAAAATCATGCTGAAATATGAAACTATTTCAACATCAGATATTTTTCAGTTACATAGTGTAGTGCGTGATACAGCCAATTTCTTACTCTGCTTTTTGATTTTTAGATACAAAAAGGCAAAGTCCATGGGAGCATTGATGTTGGTTTATCAGTTATGTCTATAAAAAAGAAGGCTCGTAGAATAGATCTTGACACGGAAGAACACATCTATCATCTGAAGGTAAAAAGTTGTGCAAATCATTTTCATCCACAGTATAAATAAGTAAAACTGTAAAAGATGTGCAGAAAACTAGTATTTTGAATGCTTTCTTCATAGTGAGTTTGTTTCCAGGTGAAGTCCCAGGATTCATTTGATGCATGGGTTTCAAAATTACGCCACCACCGCCTGTACCGTCAGAATGAGATTGTGAGATCTCCGAGAGATGCTAGCTTTCACATATTCCCTTCAGCATCTACTACAGAGTCTTCACCGGCTGCTAACGTGTCAGATGGAAAGGTGTGTTCTTTTGTTGAAAACTCGTGCTTGCGAAGCTTGCTCGTGGGCAATTTCAGTGGGCTTTGCTTATAGTGCCAACAGAGAGGAGTTTCTACTGTGGGAACCAATGGCCAGCAGAAAGCTGGGAGCGTGTGCAGCCAAAAGACTAATTTGGCCTTCCTAAATGTGCAGAGATGTTGCAAACAATTCACCATCCACAGAACAATTTGTGCTTTCCTTTGTCATCTTGGATAAATCTTTATTTTTACTGTTTTGATAATGTTCTTCCTCTTAACAGCTTCTCTAACTGGTGGTGAGCAGAAACAGTTCGCTTGCAGGGTTGTTGGTTTGGTTCTCTCTCCTACATGCTGTTCAGAAAACTCATTATCTCTGGCAAGAATGTAGTCAAACCACAGATGTCACTGAAATCACAATGCATATTTTGTTTTCGTATTCTTAAGTAGTTTGGTGATTACACTGACTGAACAACATAGCAACAGTAAATTTAAGCATTTTATTATGCCTTAGGTTCAGCAAAATAGCTTCCCCTGGCAGCCTCCTATACCTTGCAGTAATAGCCTTCCTGCCACCTGCACTACCGGTCAGAGTAAAGTAGCAGCCTGGTTGCAGGACTCTGAAGAGATGGACCGATGTGCAGAAGGTTAGTCTCCACCTTGTCATGCCCTGTTCCTTCGGCAAAAGCTGTTGTTGATGTGAAACACACAGCCAGTAAACTGGTTAAGTTGCAACTTTACACGCACATGAAGTAACTTGTCAGGTAATTAGATGCTTGTGGTTGGAAATTCTCCCTCTGCATGTTTTGGGATGCTGCTTCTAAAATTTATCTTAATAATCTGCGTTATCTTAATTGATAGCATTATTAAAATATGATCAAATTTTGAGGTCCAGACTTGTTACTGGCTCCCATAGAAATAACAAGTGATCAACATCTCTAAAAGTAAAGCCTTATTTAGATGCCTTACTGCCAAGGATTTGGACATTTAACTTTTATAATGCAATAAAGTGCCAGTGATTGATATCATGCCAAAAAAAACCCCAAACAAACCAAACCAAACCAAAAAAAAAGACCAAACAAAAAAACCTGTCCTATCTGAAACATCTAATGTTTTTTTTTTTTTTTTTAATATCTGTTAGATCTTGCTCATTGTCAGTCAAATCTTGTGGAACTCAGTAAACTTCTTCAAAATTTAGAAATACTGCAGAGAACTCAGTCAGCACCAAATTTCACAGACATGCAGGTAAATATGGTTGAACATAAATCATCACACTGAAAAACTTATTCTTTGTGTTAAGAGAAATACAGAGATGTTGTCTGTTAACTCAGAATGATTTTCTGAAACCTTAGCTCTTGGAAGAAAGGTTTATCTTATGTGTTTATCATGTGTAATAATGTTTCAAATAAGACGTATTAATTATTTGCGTTAAATAGTATGAATCCAATTATTAAGCCATTTGCAAAGTAAACCTGAGAACTGTTAGAATAGAAATGCTTGTATACATTGAAATTGTATTTAAGGAGTTTTTATTTTGCTGAGTAAGATATCATTTTAAGTTTTTAAGGCGTGGAGAGGACATAGTACAAAGGTCCCAAGAGTTTAGACTGTTTCCCAGTTCAGGTTGAGTTTTCCTCTAGACCACAAAAAAGCAATGGCAGTTCCTAAGTCCTAAATACTTTCTTCCTTTCTTGCTCAGTCCACCTGAGTACAGAAATCTCCCCGTGGTGTTGATGCATTGGGAAGTACATTTCCAATGAGGTAATAAGACTTACCACTGATTTACAGGAAGAGTTGAACTCTACATTTCATTGAGTAGTACCAGAATAGAAATCCATGAGGATTTCAAGAGCTGGTCCAAAATATTGTGCACTTCTGAAGAAAGTATACCAGTAGTTTTGCTAAATGAGCTAAATGTACCACGTGTTTATATAAGTGTATGAATAGCTACTGGTCGCTACTGTAGTTGCGGGCCCCAGCAGTCGCATTCTTCTCCTTACTTTCTAATTTGTAGATGTCTAACACTTCAATTCTTTACTAACTTGCTGTACTGTCAGTGTTGCTTGTGTCAGCTTAATAGTTCTTTGTTGCTTTTAACTATTTGTGTAATGTAGGCTAACTGTGTAGATATTTCAAAGAAAGACAAGCGGGTCACAAGACGATGGAGAACAAAAAGTGTCAGCAAAGATGCAAAAATCCAACTTCAGGTACTGAATGTACAATGTTCTACTTTCCACTGTACTTTTAGATTAACTTTTAAGCATGAAATGATATATTAGCTGGAAGTAGAAAGTCAATGTACTGTCTCTTTTGTTCCTGATGAAGTAAATGAAATCTCAGTTCACTGTTTAAAACCTAGAGAAGATAGTGAGAAAAGTGTTGATTTTGGTTTCATTCATATGAAAACATTGCCATCTAGGGAAAGGAGTGGGGTCTGAATACTAGTCAGTTAAGGTCCAAAAAAGGTAATATGCATGCTGCACACAGGGATACTGATATTCTATCTCAAAATTGCCAAGAAGGACAGTCGAGCAGGTGACATCATGCTAAAAGCACAAAACATGAGTGCAATACTAAACATATCAGTTTTCTTTGTCAAGACCTATACCAGGAATGTTACCAAAGACAAATATTTTCACAAGCTTTCTTTTATCAAAAGTGCTAGTATGGGAACAAACTGAATCAACCAAAGAATGAATTATATGAAGAAAGATTTTGCTCGATCCTATCTTAGAGCTGAAAAGTAAAAGCACAGAAATAAGTATAATACACTTGTGTTGCTGCTGGATCCCAGGTGTCTTACTGTGTTTTGTCAGAAGCAGTTGTGTGTTTTGAGGCCTAATCCAAAACCTAATCTTTTATATAACTGAGCAACTGATAATGTAGTCTATGTTCAACTGTCTTCAGGAGCTAACAATCACCTCTGTGCTGTCTGCTGCAGAATAAATAAATTTGTCAGCAACTTTTGATCCATTTAAATTCCTTGAAATTCATGCAAACTTTGAAAGCCTTTAATGTGTCCCCTAGAGGCACAATAAGGAGTTTTGTGTGACTCAGAGGCACAGTAAGGAGCTCTCTGTGAGTCATTTAAGATTAATAATCACAAGGAAAGAAGAAAATCTAGTTGTCAGCTTTCTCATTGCAGATGTTGTAGGTGGTTTTTCTTTCTACCTATTTTACTAGCTAAATCACAATAGGTTGAGCAATGAAGCATCTGTTAGAATTAAAAAGGTTTATTTGCAAAGGAATTTTGGTGATTGATGTCATGTCTTACCTGCTGCTGAATAACGTAGGCAAATTAAAATATCAGGAATAATGCTGGCAGTTGGTGCCTATAAAGAGACAGAGTTGACATTGCATGTTCTTCTTTCATGCTGCAATGGTCTCGCGGAAATGCTGCTTCACAAAAGTGATAAGAAAATGACAGAAGCAGTATGATGAGCTAGGGTGGGTCAAGAGGAAATACTAGATGTTCTTTTGTTGCCTGCACTTTACCAAAGTGACGCTGGTCTGGGTTTCCATCATTTTGGCACCTGACTCCCTAACTGCTGTTTGTGGCTTGGCAGGTGCCTCAGCTCCTGAAATTCTCAAATATGACAGGTTTTACAAGTTTCCCTCGAGCGAATTCGTGTGCATAGCCCTGCTCTACATAGGTCTGTTGCTTCTGGATCAATAATGAACTCTGCCTAACCTGTGTCAGTATTAACTCCTGGCAAGCTTAACGCTGGACATGTAAAACTTATTTTATTAGAGCAAAGCATTAAGTTATTGATGACTAATTTATAAATTAATTTGCGGTCAAACAGAAATAATAAAATTATTCTAAGTCATATGGAAGATGAAGACTCCTTTTTGGCTGCTCTGTCATCTTGGCTGATTTGATGGGCTCAACACATTGTTTATTCTTCCAAGGGCTGTCCTGTCACATGAATAGTCTAAAACTCTGATCTGTGGAAGATAATCTCACTCTGACTCATTGTGTGATTCCCAAATTGCTCATGTTTCCATTCCACTAAATTGTGGGTTTTCTTCCATGCCTAGGTGTTTTTTAAGCTTACAGTCCTCTTTTGTTCTTCTCTTAGTCATTCCTTCTAGTTTCACTGGCCTTTCTATAGGTAATTTTTTTCAAGACTACTCCAACTCTTTATAAAGGCATCCATTACTGAGAATCACTTTATCAGATTTGTGATCATATCTTCATGGTGCCTACACATGATTTGCCATCAAGTGATTGATGGTTGGTGCTAAGAAAGCTTATGTTCTTCTTTTCCTTTCCCCATCACTCCATACATCTCTTTAGTTTTAGAGGATTATGCTAATACTAACATAATAACTTTAAGCTAGGTTCACTATTAATTCCATTTGAAGTACTTGCACCTATTTATTTTATAATGAGCAGTTGTTAACTAGCATCAAAAGACCCTCTAGTAGCACTATATTGAGAGCTGTCCCTCTGGGAAGCACAAAAAATTAGAGCTCTATATATGTCTTGTTCATGAGTAATGAGGAAAGAGAGTGTAATTTTTGCTAGCTCAGCATCTGCTGTGTAAGATTCAAGGAGAGAATTCTCCCATCCAGGTTTTGCATTGTATTTTTTAGCAGGAATACAACAAAAGCTATTTTACTAACACATTCTGGAATATGAATCCTAGGTGTATAATGTGTTTAAAACTTACTTTTTCTTATAAGAAAAGCTGCTTGTTTTGTTTTTTAGAAACATGTATTTCCCAGTATATCAGTTCTGCATGCAGTTGATTTTGCTGACACAACAAATAGCAGTTACTAGAGTGGGGTTACTCCCCAAAGTAGAAATGAGCATAGCATGTGTGTATCCATTTGCAGGTTTAGGGGTTAGTTACAGGCCTTTACTCAAAAGTAATACTTGGCCTGCTTCTCTGAAGAAAGATTACATTTATGAATGACGTTTATGTTGTTTTTAAAAAGTATTTAAAGTTTTGTAAAAAAAAATAGGGGGGTTTGTTTGTTTGCTTTTGATTATTTGGATATTTTACTTTTTGGGTAAAAGACTTATTTGTCATTGTCATGGCAATCTAAAGATGTTTAAAAGAAGAAAACAAAAAATGTTACTGAAAAGCAATAAAATGAACTAATGTTGATTTAATTCCCCTGAAAAACTCAGAGTTGTGAAGTTCCAAAGCTAATTTTTTTCTTTTTCTTTTTTTTCTTCTAAGGTGGGGGGAGTAGTTTAGAACTATATAGTATGGAGTAACCTGAAAAGTCAGCTTGGTTTTCTGAGGCTTTAAGCTCAGAAATGAAATGAGACCCAAAGGGTGGCTTATTACCTTTTCCCTTCAATAGGTATTTCTTCCTATCATAACTCAGATTATGACCTCACTTTCTTTTGTGTGAAGGGGAGTGTGTGGTTCTGCAGAGCTCATTGTTCACATTTTAGTAATGTATACCTACATTCATAATTTTGCAAATATGTTTATTTCTGCATATCTCTCTCTCTGTGTACATATATATTAATCTATGTCCCTATTAGTTAAACAAGCATATTCTTCCAAACTCTTACACACAGGATAGACATGATTCTGTAGAGCACAGAGCTTTACACTATGAATAAGATGTTTTCTCTGCTTTAAAAGAGTTTATGCTTTATATTTTAGAGGTTAGGTACAGATTTATTTTTTTTAATACTAGAATTTTACAAAATGTTACAAAACACGGCTTCTTTTACTGTCATTATTAGACAGCCCTTCAATTTCCAGTATCATGGCCATTAGTATCAGCCAAAGGGTGGAGCATATGGCCGTTCTCAGATGCAGTAACTCTACCAGCAGGAA